CTGTCTCACTTGCCTTAAGATTTTGACCTGATCTGTATATTCTCATATCTATTCGAAGCACCGCTGATTGATTCCAATATAGCTATTATTTTTAAGTTTCTTCCGTCAATCCCTGTCCCCTTCAGCACTTCCATCATTTGTTCATGACTGACTATCGAACGCCTTCTTGTAGTCAATCAGGCATGCAAAAACATTACAGCTGACATCTCTACATTTCTGAATACCTGTACGCTAAATAAAGCTTCCCACGTACCAACGGCGTTGACAAATCAAAACTGATTGGTCGCAATTTGTTCCTCGCATTTCCGGTAAATTCTTTTGTGGGTGACTTTTGAAAACAGCTTCAGCTGATGGCTCATTAGGCTTATGGTCTTCATAAACTTTTGTTCCTGTTTTTTTGGGCAATGGTACGAACTCAGATTTTAGCCATTCTAATGGTATTTTTCCTGCCTTGTGTATTTCATTAAATATTTCAGTTATTAGGTAAAGAACTCACCAGTGTTCTTGTCGGTTTGAGGAATGTCTGTTCATATGATACAAAGAATTGAAATAAAATTATACTTTACACCGGTTTAAATGGGTACCTGCTACCCGGGGATGGAATCAATTTCCGGTTCCAATTGTCATAAAGTAGTATTGCCAACTAATTATTCAAGACTTAAGTCAGTCAATTACTCGAACTCAAAAATTTGAATAATCATCAATATTCACCCAATTACTACTTTATTTAATTATTAATTATTATAATTTAAATTAAATATTTTTAAGAAATGTTTATACACCATAACAGATAGCTCAGACCGACAATTATTTCAAATAAAAATATTTTTTAGGCAATTTGTAAATTTGTTATACCTTTCAATTACAAGTACACTTGTTTGTATTTACTAAATAATCATTTTAATTTCTTCTGAAAAATTCAGACTAAAATTGGTTAGTTATAACGGATGATGTATTTCAATTATTCACATTGTTACATTGAGAAAAATTTTTTGAATTTGAAACTTATTAATTAAAATTGTTAAAGTATGCCAATATTAAACACAACAATTTACTTTTGATTACTAAATTAAAACAAATTTTGAGACATTCATTAATATCAACATACTCCATAATACTGAATAACTAAACTTACAGTATTTAGTAATAGAAGAAGAACTGTCACACTTCAACCTACATATGTCAAATTTACCTCTTAAATCTAATAGATTAAATATGAAAAAAACTTATTATTTCCAACAGTGAGATGTAGTGCTGGCAGTTTCTTCCATTCCCCAAAGTTTAAGTTTTAAATTCAATGTTTGTCCCGTCATTTAGTGTTTCTGTTCCTGTTAATGTGTGTTTAATTTGTCCCCGATTGTCTTTTTTATATTTTATTTTATATACCTTTGATATACATTTTACATAATTGACTTTACATTAATCGATTAATTTTGCCAATAGACTTGATAATTACAAGTCAAAATAATTGCACAACCACACAATCGGTACAGCTACTCTTATTCATTGTCATATAACTGTCTCCTTCATTACATAAATACTCAATAAATAACACATATTCCAAAAATATATCTCTGATAAGTGTAAATAATTTAAATAATACAATAGTAAAGAACATCACTTTCATCTGACAAACAACCACAATATACCTATCTCTAATTCATTGGATCAAATCTGTTCTCCTCAAGAACTTCCCGTTTATTGTCAAAACAACTGCAATAGCACATTAAAGTTCTCCAATCAACAATACATGATTTTTGCAACCATGACCTACCATCCATCAATTAATAGAGTACCGGCATGTAAGTAATGTTTGTTTTGTTTTATTTATCTGCTCATTTATTAATTTATTACAATATAATATTACTACTTTATACCAATTGTGGGTCTTACCTTGTCTGTTAATACCTTTTATATATTCAAATTTATTCATTTTGAAAACCCCAGACATGTAATATTGGCATAATTACTAGAATTTGTATGAACTAACTTATTTGTTTATTTTATCTTTATTAGACACCACCCTAATTGGGTTTATTTTATTGCAGCATTAGTTTAACTTTGTATCTAGACCTGAAGATGCTTTGCAAATTGTAGAAAGCGAAACCGGTCGTCAGATTGTTAAATTAAATTGATTGTAAGTCTTATTATTATTTCTTTACCTATTTGATATGGACTCACACAAGCAACACATTCATGATTTCAGTTATTATTTTTATTTGTTCTGCATCTAATAGCTTCAGCAGTTCTGCAGGAATTTCATCAAGTCCCGGTTCTTTTCCATCCTTCATTTGTCTGACGACTGCCGTTATTTCTTCTGGTAGGATTTCGGGAGCTGAATTTTCTTCAATGGTGGGCTCTTGTATTGTTCTAAGGCCATGGAAAAGTTTCTCCATGTATTCTTCTCATACTTTTTATCTTATTTGGTTATGGCAGTATTGCCTTCATCATCTGTTATTTTTCCGCTGTTGCGTTTTTGTAACTTTCCAGCTATTTCCTTCACCTTTCGATGAACATTGAAGTTTTTTATTAGATAATCTTCTTTTTATGGGCAACATTTGCACCTTTTTAGCAGTCCATCAGAAATCGATTTTCTAAATATTTTCAGCCTCATGTAATTTGACTTTGCACTGTCCATGGCATGGTCTCTATGGCATAGCACCCAGGCAATAAATAAAATTGCATAAAAATATTGAAAAGATTAAAAAATAAAAAATCTACATTTGAAAAAAAACTTTACTCACTCTATAATATCTGGTAATGTAACAAATTTGTTACAAATGTTTTACGAGGTTTTTTGATAGCTTAATACAACAAAAACTAAAACGTCTATTTACAGGATAATTGCATAGTATAAAACAATCGCCAAAAAAACCCATTTCTTATAAAAAATTAAACGTTTGGCTCGACTGTTAAAAACAGTCGAGAACCTTCTCAAAAATGCAACAGATGAGTGAGTGGGAAAAATGTTGTGAGTTTTGATTTATCAGAAATCGATAATAATAAAGATATAAGCCAACTATTTCCATCTAGCGGTAGTTTTATATTATTAGTATAAAAAGTGACTAGTTCATAAGTCGTCTAGAACTCACCTAGGACCTAATATGAACATGTTACATTTTTGTTACATTGTCAAGAAAAAGGTTAAGCAAGATACAATTGTTCAAAGTTTTCTACTTACATACTCTCCGATGGGATAAGAATGTTACTTTTTTGACAACAAAACAACCAATAGACCAGTCAATCGTGAGTTGACGGCTTTTTGATGGAATGAAATAAACTAATTGTTTTCCTTGACTATCCCTGTACAAAAAAAAGAAAAATATTTACATTGCTGAATAGAGCATTGAAAACTCTTTTAAACGCTGTATCACACGCTACCCCTTTTCATTTAAATCTTTTTCAGGGGTAACTATACTATACTAACTATATAACTTCAGGGGTACATTTGAATAATGTCATTGGGAAAGTGTATTTTTATATATAAAAATTGACCTGTTTCAGGATTTTCCATTTATATTGTATATTGTATAAAATGAATTTGTTACTTTAGGATCCCATTGTATATTAATATACATATTATCACTTGTCAAAACAGTGTCGTTGCGCCCTAACTCAATTTTACTTAATCTCTGGTACCTAACTTGATTGATAATAAATAAAAAGAGTGATAATAGTATATTACATAACGAGAGTTGTAAGAAGCCTATTACATGCGAGTAAAAAAGTTGCGCGCGAGCCGCGTAGCGGCGAGTGCAGTAATTTTACAAGCATGTAATAAGCTTACAACTTAAGTTGTGTACTATACTTTTTCTACGATTATTTTCGTTTATAAAAATAAAAATTAAATTACCACTATATTTACACTGACAGATTAATAATTTTTAATATGTCAAAATAACGTCTGTTAATTCGTTTGAATTGTAACTCGACCAACTGACTTCGAGGCTTATGTGATATTACACATTTTTATAAAACTGAAGCGTAATTTTTTTTATTACGTGCTAGTCATTACGTGTCAGTATCTGTTATGATGCATTTACTTAGCATCCAAATAGTAGGTAATATACAATTTACTAGTAAGAAAGTAGAAAATAGTATATTACATAACGAGAGTTGTAAGAAGCCTATTACATGCGAGTAAAAAAGTTGCGCGCGAGCCGCGTAGCGGCGAGTGCAGTAATTTTACAAGCATGTAATAAGCTTACAACTTAAGTTGTGTACTATACTTTTTCTACGATTATTTTCGTTTATAAAAATAAAAATTAAATTACCACTATATTTACACTGACAGATTAATAATTTTTAATCTGTCAAAATAACGTCTGTTAATTCGTTTGAATTGTAACTCGACCAACTGACTTCGAGGCTTATGTGATATTACACATTTTTATAAAACTGAAGCGTAATTTTTTTTATTACGTGCTAGTCATTACGTGCCAGTATCTGTCATGATGCATTTACTTGGCATCCAAATAGTAGGTAATATACAATTTACTAGTAAGAGAGTAGAAAAATGTATATATAATGTATAATTATGTATGTATATTATATTGCAAGCGTCAATATACAGGCATACCGAGCGATTAGAAGTAATCGATTCAAAAAAACTTTTTTAAAAATATATTTTGGCTTTTTTCTATACATTAAAAGTAAAGAAACAAAACCTTCTGAAGAGTTTTAAATGAAACGATGTAGAAATACGTAATAAATTATATTTTTTATAATCAAAATCTCAAAAATATGACGCATTGTTTCAAAAATATCACCTATGACTGTTGATAGACAATTTTTATTATTTTTAGCTACTCTAAATTCGACAATTGACACTGTCATTCATTTTGACAATCTTATGTTTAATTTCTTATATATAAATTGTAAAATATTTTTATTCAAATTCAATCATAATAATTCACTAATTTGCCCTTTTCAGGGACATTGTGGATGACAGTGACAGAGCAGAATTTAAAGTAGACTAAAAATTATATTTGATTGTCACAATGGCGGACGACATACCGAATAATTCCGAAACTATACCTGACGTTTCTCTAAACACACCTCAAGTTCCTCCAATGCACATGGAAGTCGAACCATCCCCTGAACTACCACATCCACCACCACCAACAGACTCTGAAGCTGTTATTAAAAACTTGGAACTGGTGCCCGAACTTTCTGCAGAACTTCCTGTTCAACAATCTGATCTGTTGGAACAATCTGTGGAACAATCTGATCAACCCGAACAGCCCCCAGTTGAACAACCGATAGTACCGGAAGTGCCAATAAGTGAAACTGAGCAGGTAGCTGTTGCACCTGAAGAGATTGTACAAGAAAAACCTCCAGAAGAGGTAGTTCCAGAAAAGCCTCCGGTAAAAATGATAAGTATTCACATAAAAACTCCACAAGAAAGAGAAACGTTTGAGGTAGAGGAGAATGCTGGTGTTAAAGACTTAAAAGCTGTGATAGCTCCTAAATTTAATGCGGAACCAGATCAACTGTGTCTAATTTTTGCTGGAAAAATAATGCAGGATGAGGATCATCTATTACAACACAACATTAAAGATGGCTTGACGATTCATTTGGTAATTCGTGCTGCACCCAGGTTATCCGAAGCTGCAGCTAATAGACGACCAGCTGATATAGGAGCTACTCCATTTCAACTGGGGTCATTAGGAGGTTTGGCTGGACTGAACCAGTTAGGATTGAGTTCTCCTACGTTCATGGAGCTACAGAATCAGATGCAGAGTGAATTGCTTTCTAACCCTAACATGCTAAGAAATCTTCTAGACAACCCCATGGTAACCCAGTTAATGAGTAATCCTGAAGTTATGCGAAATCTTCTGATGAGAAATCCTCAGATGCAAAATCTGGTGCAAAGGTATGTTTTATAGAATACGTTTGCATAATATCTGTTTACTACCGAGTTTTTTTTTATTATAATAAGACTGTAACTTACTGTAGTGTAGGCAGGTACTGCGCGTTTTTCTTAGGCCACCTTTTTTTGGGAACCACATTAAGGTTGCAAATAGAAAAAGGCAATGTTCACAGTCTTCTTGTCAAGTTATACTTTATAACCTTCTTTTATTCAATTAAATGCTTAGTTTGTAAATATAATTTTCTTCAGTTTAGTATTACATAGGGGAAGATCCATAAATTACGTCATAGAGAAAATGAAGGGGGCTTTGCTTATTAGGATGGCACTCGATAGGTGGGAGGGGATTAGTGATCATCCGACTTCGTTTGTTGCATTTCAATGTGTCGCTATTGTAGCTATAAATAATTTTTTACTACTTTCTACCAGAGGGCAGCATTACTTTCAGTACAAGTATCAGATAATGATACATTCGTAAATAAAGTTTTATAATTAGTTAATTTTCAAAAATCCAGAAACATTGAATTTTTAAAAAATCACTGAAAATGGGGTCAACAGCTGCTCCATCTAGTTCATTCTTAGTCTTCAGACTCTTCTTTTTTCCTATTGGTTTCTATTCCATACTTGTTTTGGGATCCTACTTCTGGCCATGAGTTGTATATGTTCATATTACACCAGCTGTTAGTTTTGATTGTCATATTTGATTGTTTCTTTAATTCCAATTATTTCTTTTTATCTCTTTGTGTCAACTTTTTTTTTTGTTTTTTTTTGTCATGGTTTGGTCCCATATCACACTATTTGGGCGACTAGCACTCGATGCAGATAGATATAGATTCAATTAGGTGACTTTTGGCCTATTGTTGTCTCCTCTAAGTGTAGATTACATTCTCTAGATTGAACCTCTCATGTAGTTCTTTGCAAGTGGCTTTTTCTCGCCTAATATAAAGAACCGCACATTTGACAGGCTATCGCACTGACACAAAATGTGCTCTGCTGTTTCTTCATCTATCGTTAACTGTTTCGTCTGTCTTTGTCGTGGTGAGATTCCTACACCATTCCAGAGATTTAAGTGCTACCCAGTTTCTTGTAGTTGTTCTTGTTAATTCTTTTGAAACGCCGCAGAAGGGTTCAGGTCCATTGCCAAGCGAATGACATTAATGAGCCTTGTTTGGCTATTTTATCTACTTCTTGATTGCCTTATGACCCTTGTGCCCGCGTACCCAAGCTACCTTAATCTTACTATGATCTCCTAGTTTATTTAGGGCACCCACAAAATCCCATACTAGCTTGGAATTGACATCTACGGAATTGAGTGCCTTAAGTGCTGCCTGGCTATCTGTGAAGATGGCAATTAAATGGGGCGCTCTTTTCTGTCTTTCTATTTTTTCCACGCAGTGATGGATTGCCGTTATTTCTGTCTATAAAATTGATGACATCATTAGATAGACTTACTGGGAAATGTATCTGTTGCTTCGTCCCTACTATATCGGCTCCTACAACCTCCTATGCTTTTGAGCAATCAGTGTACCAGTTAGCTTCTGCTTGTATGGGTACACCTTCCTTTCAGTCTCTTCTGACTTGTATATTAATTCTGAATTAATTGTCAAAGCTATAGCTGTTGCATCAGTGGCTTGCCTCATTACGATATCTGCTTTTAGCTTTGTATCATCAGCACTATGCGCCTGGCTTATGTGCTGCTGATTATGTATTAATCAGTGCATCACAAATCTGGCTTCGCCTCTTATGTAATTATCCCATCTTATAATTTTACTTTCAAAAGTTATAGTCCATACAAGCTCTTATTTCTTATTTATTTTCTTCTGATGACTAGTTGGTTTTGATGGTAAAATTATTAAAAACGGTAGTAAACAGAGAAAACAAATAAATGTATGATGCAATAACAAATATACTTATTTAAGGTACCCTGAAATACACCAAACTTTGAATAATCCAGAACTATTACAACAAACGGCGGAACTGGCAAGAAATCCTTCAATGTTGCAAGAATTAATGAGGAGTCATGAGCGTGCAATGGGCCTGGATCCTAGCTCTCCTATTCCTACTAGTAATCCTATTCCAAATTTGTTTCAAAATCTTCAAGAACCAATGCTGTCATCCTTAGCGGCTCAGTATCAGGCTGGAGCACAAACCAATCCTGGTCGTGGTGTTTTAAATCCACCGCCCTTAGCTAGTTTGCTACAGCAAATGTCAGAGAATCCTACTATTATACAAAACATGCTTCAAGCTCCATATACCCAGTCAGTATTAGAAGCTCTTAGTGCCGATCCAAGTGTAGCAAATGCTCTTCTAGCTCAGAATCCTCTGATTACAGAAAACCCCACCTTACAGGAACAAATGAGAAGTATGATGCCACAATTGGTCCAGCAGATGCAAAATCCTGAAATACAAAACCTTATGACAAACACCCAAGCATTAGATGCCATCCTTCAAATTCAACAAGGCATGGAGAGCTTAAGACAAGCTGCTCCCACTTTAATACATACATTCCCCCCACCGGCACCTCAACCCCTTAACACAGGCACTCCTGGCTCCCAAACAGAAAATTCCACTCAAAACCCTCAGCCTGGTGCCCCTAGAGATGCTTTCTCAGAATTCATGAGTAGAATGGTATCCAGTATGGCAGCCAACACAAACAACACATTGCCACCTGAACAGCGATATCAACCTCAGTTAGAACAGTTGGCTGCGATGGGTTTCCTTAACCGCGAAATAAATCTACAAGCATTGATTTCCTGCTTCGGAGATATAAATGCAGCTATCGAAAAGTTACTTTCACAAGGGCAGTTATCTTCAATGGGATAAGTTCAGTATTTAGGATTGAATATATTATAACATATGGTAGTTTAGTAAAACTATTTTGATGGATCCGCAGATATTTGTTTTATTACTGCAGAAATTTAACTATTTTCTGTGTGTAAAAATAAAAAAATGTATTACAGAGGGTTTTGAAACTCATTAGAGTGTCGTGGTTAATTTGAATTTAAATTTTCTTTTAATGCTGAAGTTAATCTGTCTTATGTGAGAAAACTTAATTTTTACTAAACAATGATAAAAAGTTGCTATTTAATTTTTACCCTTATGTTTCTTATAGACCTTTAGTTTTAAGTCATACATTTTTTTAGTTAAATCATAATTCTTGTCCGCATAAGTCGCTTCGCTGCCGAATCTTCTCATGAACATTTACACAGTTAATTCCTTCTAAATTTCCGACTATAGCTACACATACTGGGCATTTTCATTTTCTACTATCACTATTTCGACTATTTTAAAATTGAGTAACTTCAAGAAGGTCGATATCGATCTTATTCTGTTTGTCCATAAAGTGCCATCAAGACTATGCTGTACTAAGTAAATAGTGTTTTTATTGAAAGTGGAATTTTGGTTGTACTACAGACGTCATATTTGTACGCAAAGAACCCTTTTTTTTCAAAGTAGAATGCAGTGCAGTTGTTAATAAATAAGCATTATAACTTTTTATAGTCTTCATACTTTTTTATTCTTTACATTTTTTGAGCTATTTAAAAGAAATACACTTAATAAGTTATTGTTCAATTCTTCCAGTAAAACCATTATAGTGTTTTACATTTACCCGAACGAATTAATGTAATTTCTTGATGTACATCTGTGACCTGTTTACTTATCTTATCGTCCGCTATTCTAACAATAGCAGGTAGACATATTTCAAACCCACAATACCGCGGAAATATGCATGATAAAAAAAAAGAAACAAGCACAGGCACTAAAATATGCATAACAAATTAGTTTTCTTCCTCTGTTATTTTTGAAATAAGTATAGTTAAATACTGAACACAACAGAGTTAAGTGCCATTATTTTTAATCCAGGGGCGACCTGTCTATCTAGTCTCAACAATGCGTTCAGACTTCTTTAGTACCCACTACAATTCTAAAAATTACCCATTTTCTGGCCTTTTGACAACTGTTCGCGTTGTCAAATTGTTGCATTCCGAGAACAGGCGCGCCAGTTAACCAAGGGGTTAACTTCAAATTAATTAAAATTAATTCGATTTATACATTTTTAACACTACACGGATTATACTCTAGCAAACAAAAAATAAAATTAGTTATCCAAAATCACGCGTCTTAACTGATCGAAATTACCCGAAATCATGTGTCAATCATGAACTCTCGGAAATTTTGAATTCGATCATTGGCAGCTCATAAAAAAATATGTTTACTTGCTGTCACTTTACATTGCAACAATATCATATAGTTCTGCTTCTAATATTAAAAATAATACATTAGGTCTAGTTTATAAAATAAGTTTTCATGAATTATATCGTAACAAATACAATCCTTCCCACAATTGATTCTACGTATTACGAATGGCAATTATCAAGATTCGAAGTTTATTTCTGAGAAACATTTTAATCTCTTTAGTAGTTATGAGTTTAGTATCTAAGATAAGAGAGTCCATTTATTAGCGGAATTAATCAATGTCCAGACATAATTTCGGAATGTGTTTACACAGCAAAATAAAGGCACTGGCACAAAGGAAGAAGTGGAATACAAAACAAACGCTTAACTTGCATGATATGGAAGATAAATGATAACACAGACAAAATAAAAAAAATTGAGAAAAAACGATTTTGAAATATTTTTGATGGTCTGGTTTCAAAAATGCTCAAAAAGAACTTGGGAGATCTACAAGAACTACGTGAGTCAACAGAGAAAAGAAAATTTACCAGAAACTATACAAAAATAGAAAAGAATTCAAACAAAAGATGTGAAGAGATAAGAAGGGTAATATATTGACAGAACAGCAAGAAGATGGAATTCCTTAATGCGACCGAAAATGTAGATTATAGTGATATATTAGATGTTCTTTTATAATAATCCACTTAAGGTTTTCTATTGTTTTTAATGTGTTCTTATTGTATGCCATACGTTAAATAAAAAATTCTCCGCTACTGTCACGCTTCTTTGTAAAAGTCATAGGGACAGCTAAACATACGATAAACTCGACAGCGATTAGGCGTATGACTCATTTTATTTTTTATTTGCTGAAGTATAAGATATCGAAGGAACGACAAGAAGGTTTCACTGCAAAATATTGTGCACGTTAACTTAAATAAACTTGAAAAAAAAATCAATTTGCCAAGTGACTCTAATGATGTGATCACCCAATATGTTAATGCTACTAAACAGGTTATTCACTAGATATAGTTGTTTTATATCAATATTTAATTTATTGAATCTCATTTATTAGATAATAAACCAATAAAATATTTATTTATTTTTATTCTACATTGAAAGAATTGCAAAAAATATTGCCTTAGTATGACCAAACAAATATCTTCTCCGTCACTGTCGGAGTCATCACTCGTGTAGTATGAAGGTCTGTTTCTCTAGAAACATTGAAAATGTTTTGCGCCAGTTTGATAATCAAGATCTGAGAAATCATTACCATCGATATAAATATATTTATGTTGAATAAATTCACTAACGAATTAGTCTGAAATAACCCCAAAACATATATTGAATCTGAAAAAAGAAAATACATAAATATATTTGAGCGTGTAAAAGCCCAATAGATTACAGGTCTGTTTTGTAAGATAAGAAGACATAAACATGAGAAGTACTTACGTTTTGACAACGAAAAATTAATAAAACGTGTAAAGAATTACAAAACCTTCAAATATGCACCGTAATTGGCGGAAGCAAACGGTAAGGTTAGTTCTAAAATTTTGCTTGATACGTTAAAATGACAACATTACCTATCATTTACCGGGAACAGGATTCTTTTGCAAGAGTAGTCATCAGAATTTTATTGGATATACTCAGTACGACTACAATGGGAGTAAATGGGTTAACATACAAAACATCTAGCAAGTGAGAAATTTCCTGTGTATATTTTGTATCATCAAATATTTTTAGTTAATTGATTGATATAAGGTTGAATGCTCGAATAAATGAACTTTGAAAAATTAAAGACAGTTATATCGAGCACAATTTTAATAATCAAATCTTGCCCAAATACTTTCGCTTTCTACAGCATCATCAGGGGAATTTCGACAAATTTGGGCTATCCAGCAAGCACAGAATTTCATGTTAATTACATTCTGCGGTTGCTGGATAGCCCAAATGTGACGAAATGCCCCTGATGATGCTGTAGAAAGCGAAAGTACTTGGGCAATATTTGATTATTAAAATTGTGCTCGATATAACTGCCTTTAATTTTTCAAAGTTCAAATATTTTTAGCTGTACTAATATGCAAGTGTCGGCCAGTTTGTGGAAAATACACGCATTTTCCATGAGTAATGGGAAATTAAGCGCGCTTATCTTTAAGGAGATAGTTTTCAGGGCAAACTATTTATGGTGTAATACATTTTTCTAAAGTAATCAGTTGAAAAATCAGTCAATTTAATCCTTATACCTACCGCATAAATCAATAATACTGTATACAAAAATCTATTTTTGTATTTATAATTTGTGAAACTGGAGTGCACTACACTATATAATACAATGAATCATACTTTTTCTTTGTCTTAATTATAAAAGTATAATAAAGTCATTACCATTTGCATCGTGTTTTCTTTATAACGCTTAAAGAATTTTTCATCAAGAAAGTAGGTTTTCGTGGATTCTAATTGAGGAGGTAAAATGCAAACAAGCTTAAGTCACAAATAAGAGTTTTTTCAGGGAGGGCGAAAAACTTTTAGCTTTGCTCTGAAAAAGGATAGTGAGTATAATAATGCTATATAATAGTATTGGTTCCAAACATGCGATTAAAAACTCATTTCAGTTAGGGTAGCTGAAAAATAGTTTAAAAAATTTATTTTGTTTTGGCAGACCTATTGCACAAACGCAGTAAAAATAAGTCGTTTATTTACATGTAAATAAAGTAATAAAGCAATAAATGAAAGGTTTAAATGGTTTTCTGAAGAAACTTTTATTTTTATAAAATATAGGCCTTGCCTAAGTGAAAAAAATTGTCATAATAGGTAGTTAATGCAACAAACAGTTTTAATATGCAAGTCATAGCGCTCTTCGTCGAGGCAGTCACACATTTCTTCCTGCTACTCACCACCTGCTGCTGTAATGGGTTGTTCAAAAATCAAACTCTTGTCCACGGCTGGATCAGAAGTAGACCAGTCCTCTCCCAAACATTTTCTTCAAAAGTTTGTCAACGTCTTCGTCTTTTCTTTGGTTAACATATGATGAAGTGGTAGTTCTTCCACTGTCACTTTTCTTAGATTCTTTTTTTCTTTCGTTCTCAAAGGTACAAAAGACTCTTCTCCTTCATACATGTATTTTTTCAAGCCTCTTAAAACACAATCTTTTTGTAATAAATCATGAATGTGTTGCTTGTGTGAGTCCATTTCAAATAGGTAAAGAAATAATAAATAAGACTTACAATAAATTTAATTTAACTATCAGACTACCGTTCTCGCTTTCTACAATATGCAAAGCATCTTCAGGTATCTATACAAAGTTAAATAATGTGGTTTTATTTCAAAAAGAGTAAGTTGAATAAAAAGGTATAAAATAGTCTATTAGATTGTAATAAATTAATAAATGAGCAAATAAATAAACATTACTTACATGCCGGAACTCTATTAATTGATGGATGGTAGAACATGGTTGAAACTACTATGTATTGTTGAATGGAGAACCCAATTCTGCTATTGTAGTTGTATGACAGTAAACGGGAAGTTCTTGAGGAGATAGATTTGATCCAATGAAGCAGAGATATGTGTGTGATTGTTTGTTAAATGAAAGTGATGTAATATACCATTGTATTATTAAAAGTTATTTATACTTATTCGAGAGATATATTTAT